CTAAAAAACCCTTCAAACTGCTGGCCACAACCAACCTCTGTCTCCTCTCCTGGAAGGTGGTTTTCATTAGCAAGATGTCCCAGTGAGCGGTGCACTGAGGCTATTCATCTGCTACAGCAGTCAGAATAAGGCAGACACACTGTTTTCACATAGACTGGCCAACTGGATCACCACAAACTAGCAGATCTCTACCTCACTACTTGGGCTAAGGCCTACTCCACATGAGCATTAGCCATGTCCACAGCCTTCCTCACTCGGATCCCCTTGCAAGAGGTATGCAGGTGGCCACCACATGGTAAATACCCTCAACATTAGTCAAGCACTACAGACTGGATGTTCATGCAAGGGCTGACTGCTCCTTGAGCAGAGCAGTCGTCTCTTATGATGACACTACCCTTACCCTAACCTTTCACCAGGTAAGCTTGCTACTCATCCATATGTGTGATGCTCAGAGACCACAAAGAAGAAAGGCAGGTTGCTTACATTCGTCAATTGATCATCTGTGCATGTACACAAGCTACCCACCAACCCTGCTTGGTGTTGTCCTTTTAAGAATTGCCCCCTTGCTTACCAGGGGTTATAGGGACCAGACCAGGTCAGTGACCCATTCTTCTCTTGGTTGAGAATCAATGGTGGTCTCCATAGGAACTGAGGAGATGGGTTGAGGCCTTTCCCCACATTATCCTGGAACAGGAAGGGAGGACTCCTGCCCAGTTAAATGCTTAGCTATAGAAGCTTCACAACTACAGGCTCTGCGCGGGCACAAAGCCCACATGTATGAATGCACATATGGCCACTTGAAGAATGACAGTTACAGGTAAGCAACCTGACTTTCATAAACTTATATCTGTTTTGTATCTTTGCCTGTAAAGACAAAAGAATTCATTCAGTTTCTCTGCAATCTTCTTAACCAATTTTAGTGTTCCTTTCATTCTATTATGATCCAGTGGTTCAACTGCCTCTTTAGCTGGTTTCTTTCGTCTGATATATTTAAAGAATTCTTTCTGTTAGCTTTGATATTGTTAGTGCCCCTCAGAATGTTTCTTTGTCTCTATTCTTGTCTGCTTGAATCTCTGTTACACAAGCTTGTATTCCCTTTTGCTTTCCTGATGTGAGAAGGATTTCTATTTTTTGAAGCACATCTTTTTATCTAATAGTTTCCTTGATTTTCCTTGTTAGCCAAACTTGTGACCTCTTCAACTTCATGCTACCTTGCCTGTCTTGTAGTATGTATACTGTCTGTGCCTTCATTATTGTGGTTTTGAGTAATCTTGAAGCATTTTGAAGGGATTTAATCCTCTTGACTCTCCTCTTCAACTTTTTTAACCAGCTCCTTAATTTTTGAGAAGTTTCCTCTTTTGAAATCAAACCCAACTGTTTTGGACCTCTTTAACAATCTTCCACCTAACTCTAATTCAACCTTGCAGTGGTGTGGTCACCATTTCCAATTGGTGCAACATCTCATATTAGATCCTGAGCAACCCCTCCTAGGATTAAATTCAGGATTGCCTCCCCTCTAGTTTCTTCCATGACCAACTGTTTTAGGGTACAGTAATTTAGAACATGGAGAAATTTAACCTCTCTCTCAGAACCAGAACATACATATATCCAGTTAATGTGTGGGTAATTAGTCACCCATTATTACAGTACTGCCTTTGTTTGATGCTTCTCTGATTTTACTGTCCATTTCAAGACAGCATTTTGGCCTGGAAGTTGATAGCATATTTCTATGATAAAATTTGTTTTGGAGCCAGGTGTTGTCACCCACAGTGCTTCTGTGGAAGAGTCCGCCAGACTCTGTGCCCTCTTTGAAGTACAGAGCATGACCTTTTCCAATATAACCTTCCCTGTACTTCCTCTACTGTTTATATCTAGAGATGTCCGTATCCAATTGATACTTTCCATTCCCCTAGGTTTCCATATCTAGCTTTTCTTTAAAAGCAGGCAGTCCAGTTTTCCCATTTTGGTAGGTTACAACTCTGTCTTGTTAACTAACCAAGAAAATGTCTGCGCCTTGAAACTGGTCATCACACAACTTTGGATGCAATCAAATACAATGCTAAGCTCTGGATCTGTCAGAAAAACTTTGCAGTTGCTGCTTAAAGGCTGCATGCAGACACAAAACTAAACCATGTTGTACTATTAAGAGAACAAACTTCAGCCCCATAAACAATCCTTTGAAGTTGGCTTTTTCATAGTTTAATGAAGTATAGTTAGTCCATGTTCAAATAATGCAGCAAAATTCAATAAATTTAAAACAAAAAGCAAACGCTTCCAAGCCCTTGGAGAGGAGCTTGTAACATCCAAACTTTTCTACTGTAGTTTCATGTAAGTTCATTCCTGATTACATTAAAAAGAAAAATGAAACTAAACCATTAACTCAGAGCATTTTATTTCAAATGGTGTATTGGCAAAATGCACCTTTGACAGCTACTCAAAACATAATAGTTCATTGCAAATATGCTGAAGATAGTTTGTAGTTCAGTTTTTCTGGTTTCAGTATGCATATTTATATAGCATACTATGTCATAGTATCTGCTATTGGGATCTTTTAAGAGCTTACTTTATAATACATTAAATAAACTGAGAGGCCAAGTTCGCAGCCTATTACACAGTTTCACCTACCTGTTGTAGATCATCTGAGATTGCTACTTCAGATAGTTAGTTGATAGGCTATGTAAAAGTAATGATCATATAGTTAACCAGTGCTTGTCTGAAACAGCAGTTCAAGATGTATTGTTCAACTTGAATGTAGTGTTCTTTCTATTTTTGTTAAGCTTTGGAGAAAATAGAAGCATTAGCATGTGCAAATTCGTTTTCTCAGAATTATATAGCACACTTCTTTAAGCTGCATGCTATGCTTCAAATATTAGAACTGAATTTACAATGTAGTTCTTTTTATTGACATCCAGTGGCCAGTGCCATTAAGAGTAAGTCATATTCTATATGGCAGAAATTAGCATTTCATTAATAAAATGAAAGCAAAACTCCTTAAATTCTGCCTTTATACAATTGTGGTGTCAGAACTCTTTCCATTGCTTCAGCCTTACAATATTACAAACTGTTCTGGGAAGAAAAAATTTAAAAATTTAAATTTAACTGGAATTATGATGCATGTAAATAATAGCAGTTTGGCTTTCATTTTGCAGTGTTCTCTAATTGTTATTTATCCTTATTCTCAGACTGAAGAATGTCTAGTAGTAGCTAATTTTCACTGAGAAAGCCCAATTTCTTTTGCTTGATCCCAAGAATAACTTTCATTCCTAAAAAGCATGGAAATACAAACCTTAAAAAAAATGAACCTTCAACAAATATGCAAAATCTCTGTTCCATTTACTGTGTAGCCTTTAAATTTGTGTAACCTTCCCTGACTTGTTTTTGTTTTTTGTTATTTTAAGAAACACCCTTAGGAGGTGGCAAGAAAGGGGTGCCTTCACCAACAGTAATTATACCCATCCATCCCAATTCAGCCCCATTCACTCCATTTTGTGCAATCACTTCTAAGGTTCTTTGTGTGTGTTGGGGGACTGGGTCAGGGAGAGATTTACTGAAATATGCTTAAGTACAATAAACCCAACACTAATTGTTCTGCAAAGAAGCCACAGTTGGCATGGGGGTTGGGTAGGGATAACACTCATTTATTGGCTTAGTCAGAATATGGGAAGTGTTGAAAGCAGGGAGCATAGTGTCAAATATCAGTTTAAGGCTTAATAGCAAGATGATATTGTTAAGTGGAAGTTATTGCGCACCCCACCCCTAATTTGTTGCGCCTTTTCAGAGTACTTTGTTCCTTTTTCTTTTTCAAGGCTTCTAAAGTGCTCAAATGAATTTGTACTTTCTATTATTTTCTCTCTGTCTTTGCAAGGGTGCACAGTTAGCCTATGTGCAGTGTTTCCTTACTGATTTCCTATATGCAATTTACTTCACTGTAGTAGAGTAGGCCACATTGGAATGGGTATTTTTTTTGAACCTATAATGGTACAATAAAATAATCTGACAAGGGGAGACTAAACATAGAAGATAGATGACGCTCTGCTTTTATGCACTCACAAATCACCTGGGGGAAAAAAATATGACTGTAATTCTATACTTCTGAGCCCCCTCCCCAAAGTGGCACATGTAATGAGTGCAATCAAAAGTGGTAGCATTCAGAAAGTTTCTTACCATAGGAAGAAGGAGGCAAGAAGTGTTGTCATGCAAAGGGCACTGGAGATACCTTCAGGGGACAGGTTGGATTGCTGAGGGAAGGAAGAAATCACACCAAGCCACTGGGTGCCCAATTTCTGTTGCGAACGATATGGGTTGGTAAGCAAACAACCAATTCAGGGTGCTTGTTCTCCAACATGGCTCACTATAGCATGTGCATCAGCTCTCCCTTTCCTTCTCCCTCTCCCTGCCTTCCCGCTCTCTCCCCTCCAATTTAACACCCCTCTCATGAAAGCTGCTGCTACTACTGGGCTGGAGATTATATGGGTACCAGTTTCCTTACTGCAGCTGTTTTTGAATAAAGAAAGGGATGTAGAAGATCCAACCATGGATCTCACATGTTTGTCTAATTGGGTCCTGAAAGGTGCTGAATTCTGAATTTTTTTCTTGATAGCATTCTTTTAATATTGGCTGCTTTAGTTAGCACATGTTCTTATCCTGTAGAGAAGCTAACATTTGGACCAAATTGTAATAGAATCACATACAAATATTGCCCTTTAGTAAAGCTAAGAGAATTATAAGATACTTGTTCTCTAAGTTTGCCTTCCATATATCACTTGTGTATTTTGAAATGGACACTAATGATTTACAATGGAGAGAACAAAAAATGTCATGCAGAGAGAGTTACTTTCTGCATTGCCATGGTATGGTCAAAGTAGCGTTTTGGTTTTATTTTGTTTTTTTATTGTGTGAGTCATTCTGAGGTTATTTTGGGTGGCATATAAACTTAATAAAGAAATATTTTATGCCTATTGTGCAATGACAAAGGTGTATTTTTCCTTTGTTCTTTTCAGAGCGCTGCAGCAGCTCCCAGTCCAGTGCTAGGAAACATTCCCCCAGGAGATGGCATGCCAGTAGGTCCTGTACCACCGGGGTTTTTTCAGGTATTCAGAAAAAAAATTATGATTATAGGAATTTTAGGTTTTAGAAATGGGTTGATAGCATTATTTGGCACTGCCACAAGAAGGTACCAAGTCAATTTCTACCATGTATAAAATGCATAATATTTAAGCACAATTTGAATGGGGTGGGGAATTAGGAGAGACTTATCAAGAGAAGACAAATTTGTGTTGTTTTACATTAGGAATGGGAAATTGTGAAGCAGTGTATATTCAAAATAATCTATGATAGCACGTTAGATGTGCAGCAGTTGGTTTGTCTTATGCTACAGGTGAGGCTGTATTTTCTATACTATATTTCTATTCTATTTCTATACTATATTTTGTATACTAACATAAGGAATGAGTTCCTTATGTTGCCTTATCAAGATAGTCTATCTACTTGAAACTTCATAATTCTGATACTTTAAAGGTTAGCAGTGCTGTGAAAAAAGTAGTGTATTTGTGTTACACAAATTCAAACTAGCAATGTTGAGTCTGAAACCTTCAAGGTGTTATATGTATTCCTGGAGGCTCTTTGAAGACAGGTTTCCTCTTGGTTTTCCCAAATGTTGGCTGCCTTGTTAACCCAGAGGCATAAAACAGGTTCTAGAAACAGTATTCATTTGTTCAAGAACTTGCTGCACCTACTTGAATGGAAGATGAAAGCTACTGTCTGATGATGCTCAGATAACTGAAAAAAATATTAAGGCTGCAATCCTATATGCACTTACTTGGCAGTAAATCCCAGTGGAATTTATTTCTGAGTAGACATGCATAGCATTGTAGTAGAAGTTGCTGAAAGATAGAATATGAAGCCAACCTAATGGATGTGTTGGCTTTTTACAAAGAAATATTCTTCAATGGAGCAAAATGAAAAGTTCATATATTGACATATTACATTCTAGCAGCAGAAAGGAAAGTGGAGTTGTTTCACATTGTGTCTTATCCTGACGGGTAAAAGGAGAGAAATGCTAGTATGAAGAGACCACTGATGGCATTACTTTCTTGAACGATGTTGAAGATGTAGAACTACTCACAGCAATTGACCCAGTTTGCACAGCATGGCAACTGTTTGTGGGTAACTAGCCACAGTGTGTTGTCATCAAAATGCAGACTGCTTACCACAGGCTGATTTATTTTGAAGCAAGAAGCCATACTTACAACCTGTGGCTTGCTCTAAGGTTTGCTTCACCCCCAGTGCTTTGTTCTGTCATTCAGTTCGGATCAGCAGGATCTGGGTTGCAGAGATTTACTAGCAAGTCACTCAGCAAGAGAGGCAACCTCCCCTACCTCTCTTTGTGATCTTGCTCATGCTGCCAGTGAGCTCTTCCATAGATGCCCTTGGAGCAGTTGTTCTGGGTTTGCCACCTTTTAAAAATGTACACAAGTGTGCATTATCATAGAAACATGGAAACAGAGCGAGTCAGAAGGGTCCTCCCAGGCCATGTAGTCTGACCCCGGCTCTAGCCAGCTCCGCTCATGACATGCCTATGATGATGGTGATGGTGAATGTCACTCTTTTGCATGTGCATGAGACCACATTTAGAGTTATCCAATATGGGTAATCCTTACTGGTTAATTTCTTTGACTACTTCACCCATCACAGGAAACTGCAGAGTGCAGTAGGAAGAAGACTGATAAGGCAAAACTCCTGTTTCCCATGTCCAGGTGCTAGTTGTCAAATGAAAAGGGGAAAATATGAGGAGACCAGGTGCACCCAAAATTGGGTAGGGACAAGTGTCCTAACTTAGCAGTGCAATCCCCTGGTTGTTATAATACATTCATAACTTACCTCTTTTCTCTTGTAAGGAACCCAAGGGCTTACAAGGTTCTCTGTATGTATCTTCATAACAACAACCCTGTTAGGTCAGGGTAAGTTAGCAGCTGTCTAAGTAAGATTCACAGCTGAGTAGGGACTGGATGCAGATCTCCAAAGCCCCAGTTCATCAGAATGGCTGTTTTAGTTTTTAAGTGTTGAACTGACGAGTTCTTAGTATCCTCAACCTTTTCAACACTTTCCTAAATCTGCAGCAAATCCAGGAAGGGGAGATATTGTTGCCCCCATTTTCAGAGGTTTTGGAGGGACTAGTAGAAGTGAACTTTCCAGGGTAAGTGCTCTGAAAAGGATCCCCAAAAGTTGGGAGCATGTTTGTATCTCCCCCTTCCTAACTAACTTCAAGAAGCAAAATATACATTTTCAAGGCTTCAAAAATAAATTGCAGCAGATAAAAAGATAGTGATTGGAGGAGGTAGGGGAAGACAAGGCAGGTTCTCCAAGGAATAGCAATGGAAATACCAGCTGGAGGACAAGGGAAGAAAAAAATCAATAGTGAACTCAATAATCTATCAGGTGTAGCTTATTCATAGAGTAGCTTAATCTATCATGTGAACCTATCCATTGTGTGCTCTTCTGTAGATAGATGGAAAATGAAGTTTTTCAGGATTAAATTCATAATAAAAGAATCCTTTAAAAATGAAAACAACAAAGAAGGTCATCTCCAAAATCTAGTAAAAATGTGATTAAGACCAACATATTTCTTGGGGAGACAAACATCCTGTTCAGGTATTCATCTGAACACATGAAGGTTGAAAGTGAATGGAGCAGTGGAATGTCTCCTCCTCCTGCATCTCCAGGTGCACTGCCCCAATTTTTCTCAGCTCAGACTTTGCCTTATTGAATTGGCAAGCTCTGAAAGGAAGTTCTATTTGCATTTACTCAAATGAGAATAGAACTCTATGTAATGGGGAACTATGATAGGGGTTAGGTCAGGTTGCTATTAAAAAATAAAAATGAGACTCTTACAGATTCATTTTAATGACTTAACTGATAAGGCAACTTTGTAAATCTCAAAATTATTTTAAAAACTATAACAATCTATACACTGTAACAAGTATTATAATAATTTTGTCATAAATAGTGTCTGGGTTATGATGACACATGTGTCATTTCAGGATTTTTTCCAAAATTTTTCTACCACACAAAATTTTCATCTTAGGGCCTTGGTAGTACATCCAGTTTAGTTAACCAGAAGCTTACGTATTCAGTTGTGCATTGAGGTTTATAGGATCCATTTCCTCTGCCTCCCCCTTCTTTACTTGAATGCTAATAAAGTTTATATGGTTCTGCCCTTCATTCACAAGAAAGCAGGCAACAAAGAAGGCTGCTTGAAAGGCTCTACTCCTACCATTTTAGCTTGTATGAGATACATAACAAGGCATATTGATAAAAATTATCATTAGATTTCAACTGCATTGAATTTTTAACTTAATTCTTATAGCCTGCCAAAATGGAACCGTAGTTAATGGTCAGACAGATTGAGTTAAAAGACTGTTATTCTATGTAAAAGAAAAGCATGGAAAAGTATCTGATCTCTGAAAAATGCAATGCATGACTTAATAGTCTGGTTTGTAGAGTTCATGATAGTTCATTGTTAATTGACCCAACATGGTGGTTGTGTCATGTGGGGCACCTGCCATTTTTGCAGAGCAGCTATGCCATGGCTTGTCCATTTTGTGTGAGCTCAGATGGCATAGTCTGAACTTAGACAACTCTTAAATAACTCTAAAGCAACCTAGCTTTTATTTGAGGGTTTTCTAAGCCTCAAACAACCAATGTAATCTGGGTACATTCAGCACAACTAACACAAGTTAGGCACTCGTGGGCACCATGCAAAAATAGCTCCCACAGGTACCTGACACAATGCAGCGGCCACTGTGGATCAATTAGTCCTCAGTGAGCTGTTTCGCCATGCAAGCCAGGTCCCAATGCGAGGTTCTTACTGAACAACAGGGTGTAGCAAGGTATTACAAGCACTAGGATTTAGAATAAATAACTGAGCCAATTTATTTAACTATTTCATATCCTCAGTGCATTCAGTTCTCAAATTATTTATATGACTGACTTGACCAACTAAGCATTTACATTCTATCTCATGGAGAATTTCTTAGTTTCCAAGTAACCTTAAGTCCTTTCTTCAAAAACATTCTGGCCATTTGCAGCAGTATCTTACATATGTACATTTGAAAGTAAGTCCCAATTTTTTCAGTGGTACTTGCTTTAAATAAACATGCATAAGGTTGTAGGCTTAGTATTCAGGTTATCAATAGCTTATTTACATTTGTGTGTGTGTTTTCTTGATGACATCTCTTGATAATATCCTGGCTTTTCTGTGTCTAAATTCTGATACAAATTATTTGTGATGTTCAGAGAAATCCATCATTAACTTTTCTTAGCCAACAATTAAATGAAATATTGAGGAAGCATTCCTCCTTATTTCTCTGTTTCCTGTCTCTTCTTATAATTGATAGTAAACTGTGGCTCCACAATCCATACTAAAATTCAAAGGTGGCGTCTCATCATCAATGCTGCAAAAAAGGATGTCAGTTGATGAGTAAGTCAGTAAAATCAGAGGAAGAATTTGTGAGGGAATACCTGCAACAATTTAGATTAAAAAGCTGAATATGAACATGAGGAAGCTGCCTTATATAGAGCCAGGCAAGTCTAACTAATTCAGTATTATCTAGGCATAGGGTTTCGGGAAGGGGTCTTGTGGTGGTTAACATGTATATCTTGCTCTTCAGTTAAAGCTGGATCTCAAGGTTAAAGTCTGTGTGCCTGAAATCTAGATAATTCTCAAATAGTCCCAGCCTTTTTGGACTCATGGGCATATAGATTTGGCAATTTGAGAAACTGCTAGGGTGCACTACTACAAAATGCCTAATTAGGGTACTGCCACTAATGGATATTTATTAGATATTTGGTCTGCTCTTGTTGAATCCTATGTGTAATTGCTAGCAGGTTTTGTATGTATTTTGTATGTATTCATTGGTATGGATATATCCAAACACATGTGTCTATATATATATTAAAACAATAAAAATGAAATAAAAAGTTTAATGGATGCAACATGGGGGTCCTCTTCACAGGCACTCAGCACACACAGGCACTGCACTGGAGGCCTCTGGTCTATGCAGAGAACAGCAGATGATGGAAACAGGCATAT